ATGAAAAATATAACTGATTTGGGTTTTTTTGGTGGGGGTACAAGGGATTGAACTGAGGGGCACTTGACCACTGAGCCCCATCCCCAGCTCTATTTTGTATTTTATTTAGAGACAGAGTCTCACTGAGTTGCTTAGCACCTGGCTTTTGCTGAGCCTGGCCTTGAATCTGAGATCCTCCTGCCTCAGCCTCCTGAGCTGCTGGGATTATAGGCATGTGTCACTGTACCTGGTTCTGATATGGTTTTGATCCTTCTAGAGAAGAAAAAGATGACAGGAATTCAGAAGTCAGGCTGTACAAGGATTATCTGAAGGAAGTTACCTGCAAAAGGAATTGGAACTCAGGGTTGACTTAGTTAAGTCAAACAGATAAATTACTTTGGGGTAAAATCTGAAACCAGGAAAGACCAATGCCCCTCAAAAAATCTTGTTTCAATATCTCTTGTTTTCATAGCAAGTATAAAAAGGCTGAGGGAATCTCTTAGAATCTCACTCTAGCAGATCCTGTGTCCTTGCAACCTTGCACATCCTCTGACCTATATCTAGACATAATCAGACTATCAAAAGATAAAGACACAACAAGAGTCACAGAAGCAAGTAACATCACGAACAAGGGATCTTTAATAAGATGAAGTAGCTGATTTCTCAGCAGAAACCATGGAGGTCAGAAGGCAGCGTGTTGATATACTTGAAGTGTTGAAAGGAGAAAAAAAAAAAAAACCCTGTCAACCAAAAATTCTAGATCTATCAAAACTAACCTTCAAAATTGAAGGCAAGTCTAAGGCATTCCCAGATAGATAGAAACTGAATTTGTCACTAGCAGATTTGCTCAAACTAGAAATATTAAAGGGAGTCCTTTAAGCTGAAATGAAAGGACAATAAACAGTCATTCAAATCCCATGAAGAAATTAAACACAACAGGAAAATAACTACATAGATGAATATATAAAAGGTAGCATAAATTTTTTTGTAACTCTTTTTATTCTATCTGAAGAAATAAAGCTTGCTAGTAAAGGTAAATGCAAGCTGGATATGGTGGTACATATCTATAATTCCAGTGTCTTGGGAAGCTGAGACAGGAGGATCACAGATCTGAGGCCTGTCTCAGCAATTTAGTGAGGCCCTCAGCAACTTAACAAAACCTTGTCTCAAAATAAAAATAAAAAGGGATGGGGGTAAGGCTAAAGTGCCCCTGGGTTCAATCTCAAGTGCCAAAAAAAAAAAAAAGACAAAATTGTTGAAATTGTTGCTAGAGATAAAGAAATATATATATATTTTTGTTGTTGTTGTTGTTGTTGTTTTGTTTTGTTTTTGTACCAGGGATTGAACTCAGGGGCACTTGACCACTGAACCATACCCTCAGCCCTATTTTGTATTTTATTTAGAGACAGGGTCTCACTAAGTTGCTTAGTGCCTTGCCATTGTTGAGGCTGGCTTTGAACTCACAATCCTCCTGTCCCAACCTCTGGAGCTTCTGGGATTACAGGCATGAGCCACCACGCCCTGCAAGAAGCACATTTTTTAATGATAAAACTATCAATCCATCAAGAAGATGTGACAATTCTAAACAGATACGTACCTGACAACAGAGCAAAAGATGGAAGAAAAACATGTGATGGGAGGTATTGTTGTGACCATTTAACAAGATACAATCATAGAAATGGTATCTAATTACATTCCTGGGTTTTGGAGATGGGGTCCTGGGCTCTTGGGGTCATTTTTAGAAAGTGTACCTGCCAAATCAATGTACATTTTGACATATATTACCTTGAACCCAGACATGTAAGCTATTAGTTTAGTCCTAATCAAAACACATAAGTTGGGCTGGGGATGTGGCTCAAGCGGTAGCGCGCTCGCCTGGCATGCGTGCGGCCCGGGTTCGATCCTCAGCACCACATACCAACAAAGATGTTGTGTCCGCCGAGAGCTAAAAAATAAATATTAAAAAAAAATTCTCTCTCTCTCTCTCCTCTCATTCTCTCTTAAAAAAAAAAAAAAAAAAAAACACATAAGTCCTTATAGCAAAGAATTTTTCTCACTAAAGGTAGAAGAGGGCAGAAGGGAAGGCCAGGGAGATTCAAAAGAGAAAAAGGCTACAATGCACCACTTTTAGCTTTGAAGGCAGAGGGGACAACATGAGATGAAATACCATGGCCTTCACAAGCCAAGGGAGACTGTCAGCAGCCAGAAGAGGAATGGGTAACTCAGTTCTCCAACTTCTGCCACTAACCTAAATGAACTTTAGATGAAGCAGATTCTCACCCTAGAGCCTCTGGATAAGAGCCCAGTGCAGCCAACACCTTGATTTCAGTCCTGTGAGATTGAGCAGAGAACCTAGCCAGTCCACCTGGAATTCTGACCTTCAGAATTGTGACGTAACAAATGAGTATTGTTAGAAACTGCTGTTTCTGGAAAATTGTTACAGAGCCATAGAAAAGCAATATAGCAGATCAACAGAGTACCAGTATAGAATCCCCTGTTAATTTATTTTTTACATGGTACTAAGGATTGAACCCAGGGGTACTTTACCACTAAGCTACATACCTAGCCCTTTTAATTTTTATTTAGAGACAGGATCTCACTAATTTGCCTAAGTTGGCAAGTGAAAACATCCTGAGACAGGATCTTCATAAATTGCCCAGGCTGACCTCGAACTTGTGATCCTCCTGCCTCAGCCTCCTGAGCACTGGAATTACAGGTGTGTGCCACTGCATTTGGCTTCTGTGTTAATTCTTATCTGTCTTTTTACCCTGATCACATGATTAAGGTACACAGCAAATGTATAGAAACCAATGCTGTCTGGGGCAAGAGATGAGCCTGGTAAATTCAGGGATTTCCCAACCCAGACAAATCTGTTTTATTATTGCTTCAAAAGGGGAAGGGAGAGGGATGGGAATAGAAAAGATAGTAGAATGAACTGGACAAAACTTTTCTATATATGAATGCATGACCAGTGAAACTCCACATCATGTACAACCACAAGAATGGGAAGTGATACTCCATGTGTGTATGATATGTCCATTACATCCTACTATCACGTATATCTAAAAAGAACAAATAAAAAAAAAACCCATTATGTTCCATCATGGCAGCAGTTTGGGCTGTAATCTTGTGTGGGGGGATAGATGAACCAAGGCAGTATTGGGTAATATGTGGGAAGGGCATATATGATCCAAGTGCACAACTTCAACTCTATTTTCACAGTAGCACATAAGGATAAGATGTATTTTCATGGGACCTGTAGAATCTGCAGAATCTATTTATGAGATCTTTTCGGAAAATGAATAGAGAAATTTATCTAGGGATGTTCTTTCTTAACTGGTTTTCTCTCACTGAGAATCTCCCTGCATTAAACACAGGTGGCAAAGACAATGTGTTAGTCACCCTGCAGCCCCACCAAGTCCTGCTCTCAGGGGATGCATCTCTTCAATAGTAGCGGCCTCACCTTGTGCTTCTGTATGGATCAGTGCAAGATGGGCTTTAATACCCACTTATTTGCATTGAATTTTTCATTCTTTGTATTATTTCATCCTATTGTTCATAAGGTCGTATGCTTTGAGGTTTTGAGTGGGAAACAAAGATACCAAGACAGGAGTTTGATCCTTAACCCTCAAAATAAGAACTTCCCATCTCTATTATTCTTTCTCTCCTCTTCCTCCCTCTGCCTCTCCTGCCTCCTCTCTTGACCACTTGTGTTTTTTTTTTAAGTTTATTTATTGGTTATTTTTAGTTATACATGACAACAGAATCCATTTTTATATTATTATCAATGAGGATAAAATACAATAGACTGTAAAATGACCTGGCATTCAGGGTATTCAACCACATCTGGAGGCAAACTCATAGACATATTCAGAAGCACTGTCAAGGCCCATTTCAAATGTTAAAAAACCTTGAGGCTCATCTCTGGGAACACCTCCAGTCAAGTCCTTAGTCCCAGAGGTGGAAAACTGAAGGTAAGGGTGACCCCAGATGGAAGTTAGTGAAAGGGGGAGGGAAGTGAACCTGGATGGTGGTCAGGATACCTTTTCAATACCTATTTTACATAGGTTTTACTCCATGCTATAAACTCCTAAGCTACACACCATAATGGGTTTTTCCTATCAGGCCCCCTCCCATGTGGCAGGAGTTCTATCTTTTCTTGCTTAAATAAATCCTGCTCCGTGTACTCTTCCCTTCTGTGACTGTCCATGGATTTTTTTTTTCCTTCAACATTTTTGAGACGAAAACCCAGAGGAAATTGGTGAAGCGGGGAATCTAGTCTCATCTCAAAACTTGGGTTTCAATTATACAATCTCTATCTCACTTTCATGCTCAAAGGCTAACACTCACTTGGGCTTTTTCTTTTTTAATCAGCTAAGCTCAGGAATTTTCAAAGATTAATTATGACAAGTTACTGTGAAATAGGAACACAGACCTTTTGGCAATTGCCCTTTCATCCATATGAAGGCTGAACTTTAAACAATTGACTAAGTAATGTACCTTTCATATGAGCCTGCATTTACACAAACCTTTTATTTTTTTTGGCACCAAGTTTTTGAGGTTGCTCTGAGACATAATTAACCCATTCCATAAGAAGATCAATTTCCTTTTTTTAAAAGATTTTTAAAAAATTTTTTTAGTTATACATGGGCACAATATCTTTATTTTGATTATTTATTTTATGTGGTGCTGAGGATCGAACCCAGGGTCTCACACGTGAGAGGCAGGCGCTCTACCACTGAGCCACAACCCCAGCCCAAATCAGTTTCCTTTCTAACAGGTTATTCCCTTGAGTATAAGCTTATTCCTCAGGGTTGATTTCTTTTCATGTTTTAGTATCATCTTTGTTCCATCTGACTTACTCTGTTTTGTTGGTATTGGTGTCGAATTATCTGGGGGGAAGACCTGTGTAGATCAAGAACAGGGTCTCACTTGAAACAGGACCAGGAGTGTATTGCTAAGAGGACAAAAATAAGTGGATAGACTTAGATTATTTTATGTGCTGTCCACTGTCATCCTAGGTGTGCTGGCCGAGTACCATCAATTATACACATGAATGCAGTCAATCAGGTCGGAGTGCCCTAAATTCCAAGTGAAAGTTCCTTAAGTCTGAGGTATCTGTGTAAAAGGTAAGATGTGCTACATTTCCAAAACTTTGTGTCTAAAATCTTATTTATGGTGTGTCACAAACTCAATGCCTCTGTAGGCAGGACAGGTATATAATAGCAGATGATGTCAATTACAATAAACTGGGTGTGTGTGCTATCTGAAGGGGACAGTCATTCCCCAACCCCTGTCTAATGTTGCCACTCAGATTTTGTGACCAGCACTGCCTCATCCTCTGACTTTTTGAAAGAGGAAGCAGATGCATGAATTATTTTATATGAATTTTCCCCATTTATAAGTATTATTTCAAACAAACTTAACACAACAGCCATGACAAAGAAAACACTCCTGTAGGCTGGACTTAGCTACTTGATCAGTTGGTGACCTTTGAAACCAAGGGTTTCATGTTATCTCATTTTCCTTATTAGTACTCTTTCACTTAGAAGGTGTACATATTGAGTGTACAAGCACTTTTTTTGGGTGAGGGATAAGTGCATAATAAATTATATAATTTATGTAAGAATGGCATCTTTTAGATAAAAATCAACCTAGGAGTGTGAAGTGGGCCTGGGAAATTTAGAGGAAGTCAATAATGAATAATGTGACCACTGTGTACCTTTTTATAAGTTGTGTGGTAACTCTGGGGAAAGAGGTCTGATAACTTATAATGGAACACTAATAAGAGACTTTGAAAAACCTGGTTAAACCCCAATAAAAAGGTAAATGACAGAGTCTGGGGAAAGAAGTCATTCCTGAAGGCAGTTGGGTCCATTCTTCAAGGCTGTTTCTGAAAATAAAGCTTTAGGGAAGGACACAGAAGGATTTTGCTAGTCTTGCTGGCAGTTTGTGTGGTTGCTATGAATTGATGGTAGAATTAGATGAATTTGTTGCCTAAACCAATTGGAGTTTCTGTTTGTTTTAAATTGGGTATACAATGTATCATGCTCTGCAGCAACATTTAAATAGAGTTTTAAAATGACTGGGTTATTCCTGGTGGCACATGCCTGTAATCCCAGCAGCTCTGGAGGCTGAGGCAGGAGGATCGTGAGTTCAAAGCCAGCCTCAGCAACTTAGTGAGGCCTAAGCAACTCACTGAGACCCTCTCTCTAAGAAAATCCAAAATAGGGCTGGGGATATGGCTCTGTGGTTGAGTGCAATCCCTCCTATAACAAAAAAAAAAAAAAAAAGACTTGGTTATTAAACCATAAAAAAGCTCATTTTTATGGTTTGCATATGAGGCAGTCCCTAAATGCCCATATGTAAGTGCAGGAATATTTAGAGGGTAAAGTGATTGATTGAATTGTGAGACCTGTAACCTAATCAGTCCATGCTAATTTGAATGGGCTGAGTGGTAACTGTAGGCAGATGAGGTGTGGCTGGAGTAGGTGGGTCACTGGTAGTGAGCCCTGGAAGTATTGTTCTTCTGGTGGCCCCTTCCTTTCTCCCTCTCTCTGCTTCCTGGCTATCATGAATGGTGCAGTACTCCTCCATCACGCCCTTCCGCCATTATGGTCGGCCTCATGTAAGGCCCAGAGAAATAAGACTCTGCCAACTGTGGACCAAAACCTCTGGAACCATGAGCCAAAATAAACTTTCCTTCCTCTAAGTTGTGCATGTCAGGTATTTTGGTCAAAGTGACACCAAGCTGACTAACATACTCATCAACTTCAGGAATTCTCTGCTACAACCCTCAACTTGTGCCAGAATAGTCTCAGAGAGAAATGGAGAGTGTCTGATTACAATTTTGTAGAGTAGTACCCGATACCTTTAATCCCTTTCTGATCATGAAATTCATTGTTGAAGTTAATATAATAATGTTGATTGAGGTACATAGATCTTCCTCATAAAAAAATCTGGGAACCGGGCTGTGGCTGTAGCTCAGTGGTAGTGCACTTGCCTGGCATGTGTGAGACACTGCAACTTAGTGAGGGCCTATGCAACTCAGTGAGACCCTCTCTCTAAAGAAAATCCAAAATAGGGCTGGGGATATGGCTCTGTGGTTGAGTGCAATCCCTGGTATACCAAAAAAAAAAAAAAAGACTTGGTTATTAAACCATAAAAAAGCTCATTTTTATGGTTTGCATATGAGGCAGTCCCTAAATGCCCATATGTAAGTGCAGGAATGTTTAGAGGGTAAAGTGATTGATTGAATTGCGAGACCTTAAGCTAATCAGTCCATACTAATTTGAATGGGCTGAGTGGTAACTGTAGACAGATGATTCTCAGCACCACATATAAATAAATAAAAAATAAAGGTCTATCAACAACTAAAAAATATAAAAAAACACAAAAATCTGGGGACCATAGAAGAAGCTGTTTGTGCCCTGCTATGTCCCTTCAGTGTTCAGTCAGACATGCAAAGGGCTGCTTATTGAAACACCTGCTACTGCTACTCTTTGCTTGAGGACTTTTTTTTGTTTTATTTTTGTGGCCAAGGAGGCAAACTCAACTTATATTTGTAACAGGGGTTCACTTGATGCTTTGAGTATATCCCTTGTGGCTTTGAAACTTAGATTTTTTTTTTCTTTCTCCCAATCGTCTTTACCCTAAACTTCTCCTCCCTGATTTTCTCCTTCCTGATCTTTCTCTAATCTTATTTTCTCTGAATCACCTCTATAAAAGCCCCCTTTTCCTGTGGATGGGCAAAATCACAGCCTTTGGGACAGAAGTCCCCTGTATTTCTCCTTTGCTAGCAAAGCAATAAAGCTTCTTTTTCCTTTTTCTCAAAACTCTGTTCTCATTAATGGATCGGCATCGGGGAAAAGGATTGGGATTTTGGCAACATATTCAGGGCAAAATGGCCAGAAGTAGCCTTTAACCAATGACTGGTAAGGAGTTTTTGGATAACCAGTTCCTAGGTAATACTCATCTTGCTGGGCCAGGGACCACACTGGGAGAACCACTGTACTAAAAGGACCATTTTAGAATTTGATCATGTATGGCTGGGGATATAGCTCAGTTGGTAGAGTGCTTGCCTCACATGCATAAGGCCCTGGGGTCAATCCCCAGCACCCCAAACAAAACAAAACAAACAAACAAAACCCAAAAAACAACATTTGATCATGTATTCTTTTGGTAGAATAATTTTCTAAAATCTATTTTTAGTTATACCTCCTACCCGTGGAAGTCAATTACTTGAAATAACTAGTAGGGGGGAAAAAACTTTTCATTTATATTTTATGTTAGCTATTCCCTTCCTGTGATTTTAATTTTCTTGATGCTAAGGTTAACTGTTTTGGTAGGACTAAACTAGTATTAAAATTCTTTAGTGCTACAAATTTTCTAATATTCCAGAAAAATTCAATAGCATTATTCATAAATCTCGGCAGGTCATATGGGACTTCTTCCACAAGCAATCTTTGTAATAATGAACCCTTCATAAACATAAACACAAATTATTTCATCCTGTTCATAATGTCAGCATTTTAAATTAAGTACATATGTAAATTATATGGCATTTTCTTCTCTGTGATCATATATTTCTTTAAAGGGAATAATATCACTTCAGACTTAATTTTACCTGCTGTCACCTCCTACCTAAATGAGTCATGTCAAGTACTGCATGCCACTTCTCTTGACAGTTACCTGAGAGTTGCTGTTTTCATGCATTCTGGTGCGTTTACTCCTCAAAGTTCCTTGATGTATTCTGAGAAAGAAATCATATTGATTGACTGATGAGAAGAGTTTGTGGGATACTGTTGAAAGCCATTGGTGTTTACCCTTGCCCTCCATCTTCTTATCTCTGAGAATTTCCCACAGATGGTTAATGTTATCCTGGGCCTATTTATGGTGTAACCCCATTTTCTACCAACTTCTTGAAAACCAGCCATTCACTCACCTCTAGTCCTCTAGTCACTTCTAGGCTCTTCTGTTCCCTCCCCCATTGCTGTTTTGTTTTATCCTTTTCCTCTGATAAAACTAACCTAAGGATTTGGGGTGTGCCCAACTTCTGAATCTTGGATATAACAGGGTATAGAGAACATGGTGGCAGACCAACCCAGTACCACAAACTTACACCACCATGTTCCTGTTTCCTTAGCTATGCCAGGCACCGGGAATTTCCCCTCAGGCCTACCTTACTGCTTATCTCCCTGCTCCTTCTGCCTTCTTTCCCTTGCTCTCATCCCTACCTCCCTTTTCCCTGGCTTCCTTCCAGGCCACCTTAATCTCTCTCACTCTGTTTCACAGTGGCATTCAGCTCTCTTTTCTGGCTCTCCTCCAGTTAAACTTTGAGCAAGGGTCCTCACATTTCTCCATTAAAAAGCTAGTCAAGGCCTATCATCAAAGTATAGGATTTTTCTAATTGAAAGCGCTAGCTACTTCTGAGGTGATTTGGATCATTCCCTTAGAGAAGAAGTGGCTGTGGTCAGTATTATTTTAAGTACCAGTTTTGTCAAAGGAAAGACAATAGGGCTCCTTGCTGCTGAGAGTATTTGTGTGGCCTGGCCCAGGTTTAGAAAGGAAAACTAAGGTGACTTACAAAATATGTTGTTGCCTTTTGTTAAAGAAAAAGCTTTAAAATGATTCTTGTTAAAGATAGGAAGGAGGGCTTTGTTAGAGGAGACTATCACAATAGGTATGGGAGAAAGAAAAGCGAGAAATGAAAGATAGAGACCAGGCAGAGATACATAACAGGCTTGGGTTTCAGGACTCTTATGGGACACGTTCAGGAATCAGAGCCTGGCAGGTCCTAATGTAGGTGGTGAAGGGTTGGGTTGGTATGAGGAAGTAGTGAGCTTTTCTGAGAAAGGCCCTAGGGCGGGAAAGTGAAAATTTTCTTAAAATGGCGGTGACACTTAAGATGGCTGTCTAGATACTAAGCAAGGACCTTATAGTGGGGACCTCTGGAATGGATTCTTGCAGTGGGAGATAGATTGGTCTCCATTCTAATTCCTACAAGGACAAGTGGGGATTTAAAACCAAGAAGCAGAGCAGGAGTCTGTGGATGGAAAATGACTAAGAGGAAATATTAGGGGTCAGAGTGATTTTTGCTATGCTAACTCAATATAATTTTTGTGGAACA